TGGGGTCCACAATGAAAACAAAGGGCTTTTTTATGCCCCAGTCTGATTATGTTATGAAAACTTTTCAATAGCATAATATAGATTCTAGATGTTTACAAGTACTTATTTTTCTTTTTCTTTCTTTCTTTTTTCTTTTTTTTTGTTTGTGTGTGTGAGGTGTAACTTAAATGTAAACTGCATAAAAGGCACAGATTTTAAGGATATATATATATCTTTGGATTTTTTAGTAAATATATATACAACTTATGTAACCACTGACATTTCCAGATACCCAAAAATTGCCCCGTGTGCCTTTTCCCTGTCCATTCCCCCACTCCAGAAGCAACCACTGAGCCGATACCAGTCATTATAGATTAGTTGTGCCTTCTCTTGAACTTCATAGAAATGAAACCTTATAGCAGGTCTTCTGTGCATCTGGCTCCTTAACTCGCTATGTCTATGAAAGTCTTCCATGATACATGTAATAGGATTTCACTCTATAAGAACTTCTGAAGCATTTCCTACTGGTTATTTTTCATGCTGGTTATTTCACAATATCTAAAATAAAGACTGAATTTCAATTCCAGATGTTTTGCAGTTTGGTGAATACGTAGTGAACTTTAAGGATAATGGAGGCTCTAAAGTGCTTAGAGTTACAGTGGGATGTTTTTAAGATGAGAGAAATTGTGGCATGTTTATATGCTGATTGGAGTGACAGAAGGAAATGGAAGAGAGTTGGGAAGCAGGTCCTGAAAGAGGTGAGAGGGGGTGCAGACAGGGTGGAGAGAGGGGTTGGAATGGAACTGAAGAAGGGCCAGTTCATCCTGGTAAAAGAAAGGAGAGTCTTACTATTTGACATCCCTCCAAACTAAAAACCAATCCCCTGATTTTTTTTATGTTGGCAGCTATTCCACACAGTGTTAAACATCAAAACAGGTCTTTGAACTTCCAGTCTGATGTCAATGTAGATAATACAGCTTCCTTTATGGACCCAATAAAGAACTGGATAAATACTGGTGATGGTTGTTCTAAGTGGGTGGGCAAGAGGGAAAGAAGAGGGCAGTTAATGCAGAGAATGTTTGGGAAGCTCATGGCGGGTGTGGGTGTGATACTGTGATTTATAATAAATATGTATTTGGTCTTCCTCCTGTTTCTGGCACAGAACTCTCAAAACCCATGGACTTTTTCTGTGATGAGAGTGAAAAGGGTATCTTTTGCTATGGTAATGAGGTGACTTTTGGAAAGCACTTAGGTAACCTAAGAACAGGGGATGGTTGCTGGGGGACCCAACCATATGATTATAGTGTTGGAATTTTTAGTCCCACAATCCATCCACCCCACATCCTGGGAGTGGAGAGGGGCTAGAGGTTGAATCAATTGCTAAATGGTCAATGATTTAATCAACTATGACTATGTAATTAAGCCTCCATTAAAAGAAGAAGGGGGAGGGGGAGGGGGAGGTGGTTGTTGTTAAGAGAGCTTCTGGTAGGTTACCACTTAGAGATGGCAGGGTAGTCCATGCTCAGAGTATGGAAGCTCCAAGCCCTTTCCCCTTACATTGTCCTTTGCATCTCTTCCATCTGGCTGTTCCTGGTTACATCCTTTATAATAAGCTGGTGATCTAGTAAGTAAAGTGTTTCTCTGGGTTTCTTAAGCTACTCTAGCAAATCAGTTGAACTGAAGGGAAGGGGTTATTGGAACCTCTGATCTATAGCCAGTCAGAAACATAGGTAACAACCTGGACTTGCGATTGGTGGCTGAAGTGGAAGGACAGTTGTGGGACTGAACCCTTATCCTATGGAATCTGACTCCAAGTAGATAGTATCAGAGTAGTTTCATATGGTTGACGTAAGAAATGTCCAGACCTGTAGAGAATTTTTTTATGAGTTTATTTGAGCCAAACTGACGACAATTGCTGGGAAGCAAAATCTCAATGGATTGAGAAGCTGCTCCTGAGAATGGCAGTTTTGCAGTTTACTTTATACATTACAGTAAAAAAAAAAAAAAAAAAAAAAGAGATGTAAAGAGAGTTGTGTGAAATTCATTGGTGGTAGATTAGGGAGGTGGGAGAAAGCAAAGCAGAAGAAATCTCTGAGATTGGGTAAAGAGTAAACCAGAGAGACAAATACTTCTTTTATATTGGTGGATACAAGATAGTTAACTATTAACATTTACAGCACATAGAGATGGTATGCAGATAATGAGATTACAATGAGGGATTCTGGGCTCTGGTGGGTATTTGTGTCCTGAGGGGTCTGGAAAAAAGGGGATTCCTTTGACATTTCAAAGGTATATTATGGTAGATGCAAAAAGACAATAGACAGGCTCAGTTAAGGCAAAAATTTACCTTTGTCAAGGAAGATACTGGCCTAGGACATGACTGCCTACCGTGACTCACTTTTAGTTAGGAAGTTTTCATTTGAGACCATCCTATGTGGTTACTTTTGAATGCTATGTGGGCCACCTCTGAGCTTGTCCAGGTTAGTTTGTGACCCCTTTTTTGTCTACAATATTCAACAAAATCTCACTGTGTTATTCATGTAGGACTCCCAGCTGGTGTCCAAGAATTGCTTGCTGTGAGGGAAAAACCCATAAGTGGGAACTGGTTGCACAGCAGTCAGTAGTCAGGAAGGGAGGGAGCTGGAGTAGGGAGGGGAGCAGCACCTAAAGAGCCCCCCAGTAAGGCCTGTGGATGTATTAACACAATGGAACACTGTCCTGCAAAAGAATGAGTAGCCTGGATGGATTGTAGCCACTGTGGAGCCCAAGAAGTAAATACTGAGGATGGAGGAGGGTATTGGATGGGACAGGAGAGCTTTTAGGGGGCTGGAAACTTCCAGCTTGATCTGAATGGTGGCTACTCAGGTGAATGCATTTGTAAAAATTTACTGTGAATGCATTTAAAACTTGTGTAGTTTATGTAAAATGGATCTTAATAAAAGGAAAAATGAGGTAGGCTTAGGAGCTAGATTGACAGAGGGCAAGTGGGAGCCATGGAAGGGTTTTGAGCAAGGGCAGGGCCCAGCCAGGTCTGAGTATTATTAGAAAGGCCCTCAAGGGTGAGGGAGTCCATGGAAGGGGAGAGGCCAGAGCTTGGCCCCCACCTCAGCTCCTGGCTGGTGTTCTAACCCTGGTAAGCCTCCACTCCTCTCTGGACCCTCTTTTTCCCACCCAGTCCTCTTGTGGGAGTTCAGGCAAAACAGAGTAGGAGAGGGAAGTAGCCAAAAATCACCCTGAGACTGAACTTGAGGACAGAGCCCTCTGACTCATGCCTGCAGTCCCAGCTCTGGCGCAGGGCCTTCAGGAAGTGCTGGGTTGTGTGAGAATGCAAAATCTGCCAAAGGAAGGGGGGGCATCAGGACCTGCACCCACAGAAGAGAAAGAGGGTGCAGGTAGGCAGGGGCAGACCCAGGATAATTCAGAACTGGGATCTCTCACATGTTCTTTTAGTTTTTTAGTCAAAAAGCTCCTTCTAAATCAGTTTCTACCTTGTCTCAATGGAAACCAACATGTGGGAGAAGGTGAGGGGCTTTGGTACACCCTAGAGATGCAGTGCGCTTATTCAGTGGTACTCACTAAGGCCCTACACATGGCATTGAAGACACAATAGTGAACAAAAATGAAAATGTGGTGTGGTTTTTAGAACAGACCAGTTGGCTATGCACTGGGGCTCTGAGCCAGGCTGCTTGGGTCAAATCCCAGCTCCCCCACCTCTTTGCTGTGGCTTTGGGCAGCTTGCTTAATCTGTTCTCTCATCTATAAAATAGGACCAACAGGACCCACTTTGCCTCCTTTTGTAGAGATTTTGTAAGATCAGTTATACAAAGGGCTTAACATGGTGCTTGGCTCAATAAATATTGTGATAGAGACAAGTTTATGGGGCTATAGGAGCTTTAGAGAGGGCATCCTAGAGGAGGGGACATCTAAGCCGAGGCCTAAAGGAAGAGTAGGAAGGAGTTTGCCAGCTGAAGGGGGGTAGGGGTGGGGGTACCAAGAAACAGTGGTCTGGGAGGAATGAGTTTGGCAGGGGACCTGGTGACACTGTAAGTAGGGCTTCCTACAGGGGGAGGCTGTTGGAAATATCTTCAGAGGTTCCATCTACTTCCTGTCTCGTTTGCTCCCCAGGTGGGTTGGTGGTGAGGAAGGGCAGTCTGGCAGTGGGTGGTGCAGGCCCCAGTTTAGCAGGGCCGAGGGGTGAGGCTGCCTGTGGACTTGAAGGGAAATCCAAAGATAGCTCAGCAGAGGAGGATGACTCGCTGCCTAGGCTTCCCCGAAATTGGAAACGAGGATGAATCAGCCTCTCAAAGGGAAATGAAGCCAGGAAGGAGACCTGGGTTCGAGCCCCAAGGCCACTCTGCCTCTGATGCACCTCTGGCAGGGCACAGAGGGACCGGCTAAGTATGAGTCTGGACCCTGCAGTCCTGGTGCTCAGCTTCCAAACCTGGCTCCTTTTGAAACCTCAGTTTGTATCTGTACCATGGGGTGGAGTGGGATGGCGGAGTGGTCTCGATGATTCATAAAAAGGGAGCACAGCCCTGGCCGGTTTGGCTCAGTGGTTAGAGTGTTGGCCTGCGGTCCGGAGAGACCCGGGTTCAGTTCCCACTAAGGGCACGTACCTCGGTTGCGGTCATGTGGGTGGCAGCCACTTGATGTGTCCCTTTCACGTCGATGTTTCTCTCCCTCTCTCTCCCTCCCAGTCTATCTGAACAAAAAACGAAAAAATGTCCTCAGGTGAGGAAAAAAAAAAGGGAGCACAGAGCTGGGCATACAGTAGGACCTCCAGAAGCGCCAGCCCTCTTTCTTTTCCCTGTCTGAGTCCTAGCAGATATGAAATGAGTGTGTGGGATGGTTTGGGGTTCCTGTTAGTCTCCTGATGGGTGAGTTGTCATCTCGGTTCTAGTGAGATGAGTAGAGGGGAGAGGGGCAGCAGAAAAAAGAAAAGGTCAGCCAAGCATTGTGTCTGAGAATCAATAGCAATAATAAAAAGATTGATTAGCTCATGTATTTGTTTCATGAATGCCTGACCCTCTGTGTCACTCTGTTTTAACAGCATTTCTATGGGGAGTGGCCCCATTCTACAGGTGAGGTCAAATGTTCAGAGGTGGAACCATTTGCCCCAAATCACACAGCCAGTAGATGGTGGAGCCAGGATCTGCCTGAATTCAAAGCCCTTGCTCATAGCCTCAGACCTGGGGTGTGGGGGAGTTGGTGAGGACTCCCCAGCCTACACAGCTGGGAGGGCACTTAGGGGAAGCCTCTGTTTTATAGATGGGGAAACTGAGGTTCAGACAGGGCAGGGTAAGGTCCTTCCACTGGATGAACTGCCTGTTTGAAGTGTAGATATGTTTAGAAAGAAACAGCAACTTCTGTCTTTAACATTTATTACAAAGTATAAGAGCGGAGACTGGTGAGCCCCTTCATCTCCACCTCCTCTCCCACAATATTCTCTGCAACTCTAGAAAAATAGTGTCCTCCATCTCTCCCACCAGGGGGCACCGCCTCCTGCCGTGTCCCAGTTTTAGGCCTGGTTCCTTCAGCTCTGCCGACCAGCGGTAACTTAGGAACTCCAGGGTCCTGAACTCTGGACGCCAGTCCCCTCCTCCTCTGTGCCCCAGCTGTCCCAGCCCCCAGCACCTCCACTTCTAACTGGAAGCTGGAGGTCATCTGTAGCAGCACAGTGAGGATGTTTTTGTTGACAGTACTTGGGGTAGTGGTGACCGTTTTCCCATTTGGGCCTCAGGGATGGGCAGGGGCCTCAGGGATGGTCCACGGCCTCCCTTCTTCAGCTAGTGTTTCCTCCAGCAGCCTCAGCGAGTCAACCCACTCCAAAGTGGGGTCCCCTAGAGTCCTTGCATTTGAGGCGCTTTATTCTTAGTGCTGGGTCAGGAGAAGAAGGGAGAATGTCCTTGACCTCAATCCTGGGGAAAGTAGCCTGGTTCTTCCTCCTTAAGTCCTGGGGAGACAAAGGAGATGATGGATGGACAGGTAGGCCAGACACCAGAGGAGGAGCAAAAGCAAGGACACGGAAGTGGAGACAGACAGAAACCAGTGGGCAAAGGAGGAAGTAGGAGTGTGGGTTTACCCAGCACCGAGAGATCAGGAGCAGCCAAACATTTGGACAGAGCCAGAGACAGGCAAAGAGAGATACAGACATATTCCAAGCAAACAAAGAGGGAGAGGGTATAGAGAGTCAGCAAAGGGGAGAAGAAATGTCTCCTTCCTTCACTGCCCATCCACTCCCAAACTTGGAGTCCTTTCTTCCCAACACAGCCAGAGCAGAAGAGAAAGGGTGGCTTTGTCTCCAGGCCACCCTGCACCTCATTCACCATGTGGGGTGCTGACCACAGTCACCTTTCCTCAGAATGCTTTCTTGCCCAAGTCCCAGCCTCCTTACCAGCTATATGGCCTCCTGGCTGGGTTCTGGAAGCTGCCTTGGCCCCAGGACAGTGCTAAGCAGCTCAGTCAGGGTGTCCAGCTTCCCTGCCAGTGTGTCAATCCGCTTTTCCAGGGCCTGGTGTGAGCTGCTCAGACCCAGCTGCAAGTCACACAGGATCATGTGCATCTGGGTATCAGGGAAGGGTCAGAGGTATTAGGGAAGGTCTGGGGTACACACTCCTTGTCTCACGGAGTAAGGCAGTGGAACCAACATTTAATAAATCATTACAGGCCCTTGAGGAGTATCCTCAATCATAACAGTGACCAATTATTGACCTCTACCACATCCCAGTTACTTGGCCATGTGCTTTTCGTGTGGTTTAAAATCCTAAAAGTCATGGGGAGTGAGAATCCTGTTCCCATCTTTGCAGCTGAGGAAACTGAGGCCTGGGCAGTTAATTGACACGCCCAAGGCAGCACCTAGAATAGGGCCTAGGATGTTGTAGGTACTCACTAAATAATTATAGAATTGGTGAATGCCTGACTTTAAAGTCCATATAGCCCTTTTCCCGCCTTCTCAAACCAGGATTCACAGCTTCTTCCTTGAGGGTGTGTGAGCTTTCTATGAGAATTCTTTAATTCTGTGTTTTATGGCTCGATAATCTTAGGAAATTTTCACCTGTCAGTTCTGGCAGATCTAAGCCATCACCTCCTCACGGAGCCATGCAGTGGAGTGGCCTGTATCTGTGGCTGTGTTTACCATGGCATGGGTGCTGGGGACCACTGTTTGAATTGTCTCAGACAAATGAGAAAAAACAAAGGCCACCAGATAAGCAAAAGATGCTTGTGTCCAGCCAAGGGATGTGATGTCGTCATCCCTGAGCACTGGTGGAATCAAGTGGTACCAGCAGGAGGTGGGCAAGCTGAGTCCCTTGCCCAGGCAGGTGAAGCACCAGTGGCCCTGGGACTCCTCTTAACAATAGCAGCAGAGATTGAGTTTTACTGAAATAATGTCACCCTTCCCCATGTCAGTGTGGTTCATTTGTATTTTATTGGTTTAGCCGTGTGTGTTTGGGCTTGGTTTGTAAATTTGCTTTGGTTTTATTATTGTGTAAGAGTCAGAGTTGGAAGGAATTTTATATCTGTCCACATGTAAGTTACTTGACAATAAAAATAGTTTAAAACCAAACACTGGAGTCCTTTGTGCAATTTCTTTTTTTTTTAAGTTTAAAAGGGACCTCTGTACCATACATGAGTTTGAGAAACTCGGTATTGCATTATTCATTCATTCAACCACGAACCTTTATTGAGTGCCTGTGTTTGCCAGGCCTGGCCAGTGTTCCCTATTTCAGAGCCAGATTTCCCTGCCCTTGGCCCCAGCCTCCCTCTCCTCCCAAACCTGGTACAAGGGGAATCCTGGTACCTTGGAGATGTCCACCATGGAGTTCACTTGTTCCCGGAGCTTTCGGTGTTTCAGCCGCACCTGGCGGAACCTGTGGGAAGTAGGGGATCAGTTTTCATATAAGCTTGGTTCCCAGATGTGGCCCTAGTTCAGGGGAGGGATGAGAGGAGGAAAGACCCAAGTGTACACAGTACAAAAAGGAAAAGTTGCTAGAGAGCTGAAGTGAGGGGGGCTGCACCCATGAGTCCACCTCCCTGGGAGAGACCCAAGTATCCAGACCCTCAGACATTCTGAGACATGCAAAATCAACCACAACAGACACACAGAGTCACTGTGAGGTTCAGGCAGACATCTGTTCAGTCACACATACACCACATACACCCACATACACTATGTAGAAAGATGTGGTCATGGGTGTACATGGGTGTGCGTGCACACACACACACACACACACACACCAGCCCTCACGTGTTGATGGCACCCAGCAGCCTGCGCTGGTGCCTGCGGACAGCTCCAGAGTCCTTCCTGCGTGTATGTTTGTACAACATCCAAGCCTCTTGTAGCACTCGGGCAGCTGATTCCTTCATCTGGGAGTGGGTGGCACAGTGTCAGTGTAGACAGACCCCTTGGTTCTGGGAAGAGGGTGCTGGAGGCCTGGACTCCAAGGTCTGAGGAAGGAGGGGCTGGGGGTCTGGCCTGTGTCTGAGGGAGCCAGAGGCCTGGACTCCTAGGTCTGAGGGAGGAGGGGCTGGGGGCCTGGCCTGTGTCTGAGGGAGGAGGGAGCCAGAGGCCTGGACCCCTGGGTCTGAGGGAGGAGGGGCTGGGGGTCTGGACTCCTAGGTCTGAGGGAGGAGGGGCTGGGGGCCTGGACCCCTGGGTCTGAGGGAGGAGGGGTATGGGGGTGGAACTCCTGTGGCAGCCTGTCCTCACCTCTTTGGCATACTGGATGTCCATCATGAAGTTGTGCACATGCTTCTCTGCCTTATTAAACTCCAGCTTCCGAGCCACCACAGCCACCAGCAGGGCTGTGCAGCAGACCCCCTGTAGGCACAGCAGGCACTAAGACACAAGGGCTGTGGGACTCTGTAGGCCAGCCCTTTGTCACCAACTCTCCTTGAACCCTCCCAGCAGTCACAGAAGGCAGGCCTGACCCCCTCTAGTTGACAGACAAGCAAACAGTTTTAAGGGGGTGGAGCAAGGATCAGAAATCACATCTGAGACGACTCCTTTGTGTAGTGTTTACACCATCAGATTGGAGGGGGAGAGGAGAGCTGGTTTGGGCAAGGGGAAGACCTCAGGCTCCTGAGGGACCCATCACACCCAGTTGGCCATTAGTCACTAAAGGTGTCCCTCACTCTCCTCCCACCCCCACAGCCTCTGTCCAGCTCTGGCCCTGTCCTCTTCCTCCTGGACCATCTCCAGCCTTCCACTCACCTTTCCCTAACCACAGGGAGATCTAACCCCAGTTATGACCCTGCCCCCTAACCCTAGTCTTCTAGCTTCCCATAGACCCAGACTGCTTAGCCTGTCTTTCAAGGCCTTACCAGATCTAGGCCTCTCCCTCCTCTGCCCAGTCTCCCTCCCATACAACTCAGCCCCAGCCTCAATGTGGCTCACCTGCCTGAGCACCTGGATCCAAACACATTCTTCTCCCTCCCCTCTCCCAAGGCCTCTGATCCTTCAAGGCTTCATCAGACCCCACTGCTCTGTGACAACTGGTCACTCTTCCTTGAGTTGGAAGGAATCTTCTGAAGCCGCCCCCACCCCATGCATTTCATCCCTTGACCACTCAGAACAACTTACTAGCTGCAAACGTTCGCTCTGGGACTGCTTGGGCTCCAAACCCTGCTCTGTGCAAGTTATTTAAACTCGCAGTGCCTCAGTTTCTCCTCTGTAAAATGTCCTCCCAGTATTACCCTGTGGATTCTGTAATTTAACACCTGGGGAGTGTTTAGAACAGAGCCTGGCCCAGTGTGTGTTCAAAAGTTAGCAATTCTAATTCCATGGCGCCATGGCACTCCTGGCCAGGAGTGGGCTGTGAACTCTGATGCAAATCTCCTTATCTCTCTAGGTTTCAGTGTCTCCTTCTGTCAAATGAGGGAGGAGTGTTTCCCTGTCTGAGTCTCTGCCTCTTCCCTTATCACAGATACCACTCTATGTATGTGACATTTCCCTGCCACCCCATCTATCACCTGTGGGCCCAAGGCTTGGGAATTCAACATGTCCTTCCTGGGACAACATCAGGACTGGGGACTAGCAGCTTGAGTCCCTGAGGGTAAAGGGAGCCAAATCTCTTGGGAAGGTAAAGGTCAGGCATTGGGTGCTGGGTCCTGGAGGGGGGTAAGGGTTGCATGAGGGGCTGGATGCCTGGATCTATGAAGAGGAAGTGGTGAATGTCTGGATTCAGGAGGAGGCTGACTCTAAACAGGAGGCTTCGTGAATCTGGGGCTGGAGAACCTCTGCCTCATCCTTGAGGGGCACGGGAGCTGGGGTAGGAGTGGCAGATGCCTGTGACCAGTTATAACAGCCTCTCCACCCCTACCCCCAGGTACTGAGCATTTTCTCTGTGCTGGGCACTGTTTGAGACCCTTTACATGTTTTAATTTACTTAATCTCAGGAACCCGAGGAGTTTACTAGTATAAGCATCCCATTTTATGTATTTATTTAATTAGATAGAGTGGAAAGGAGGGAGGGAGAGAGGGAGAGAAACACCAGTGTGAGAGAGACACATCAATTGGCTGCCTCCCATATGACCCCAACTGGGGCCAGGGATCGAACCTGCAACCCAGGTATGTGCCTTTGACCAGGAATCAAACCTGAGACCCTTCAGTCTGCAGGCCAACACTAACTGCTGAGGCAAACTGGCTAGGGCAGTGTCCCATTTTATAGAGGAGGCCCAGAGAGAATATATAGCTTGCTTCTATCTACAAAGAGGCAGAAGGGGGATTTGGACCCAGGCAGCCTGGCCCCACAGGCATGGTCTTTGTGATTAGACTCTATAGCCTTGATGGAGGCTGGGAGACTGGTTTCCTAGGTCCTAGAGCTGGGAAACAGTGCCCAAGTCCTAGATGATTGGGAGGTAAGGGAGTGGGACAGGATGCCAGAGCCTTGATGGGGCCCAGGGCTGGATTCCTGGATTCTGGAAGAAGATAGGGCTGGGAAGTCAGGGGTCTTGTGTTCCTGAGGAGAATGAGGGCTAGGGTCTTAGGTTCCAGGGAAGAGCAAGGACTTTGGGGATGGATTCCTGGGTTTTATTTTTATTAGTTTTAAAAATCCTCACCCAAGGAATATTTTTCCATTGATTTTTAGATAGAGTGGGAGGAAAGGAGAGAGGGAGGGAGAGGGAGAGAGAGAGAGAAACAATGTGAGAGAGACACATTGATTGGTTGCCTCCCACACAACCCCAATTGGAGCCAGGGATCAAACCTGCAACCGAGGTATGTGCCCTTGACGAGGAATCAAACCCAAGACTTTTTGGTCCATGGACCAACTCTCTAACTGCTGAGCCAAACTGGCCAGGGCAGATTCCTGGGTTTTAAAAGGAAATGGGGCTGGGAGTGATCTGTGTCCTGGAGGGGGATTGGAACTTGGGAGTCCAGACACCCAAGTTTCTTGAGGGTGGCCCTGATTGCCTGTGTTGGCTCCATGGTTTCCTGGGGCCAGGGGATGACCAGTTTAAAATCAGGGGAGGGTCCCTGAGGTGGCTGTACTCACCATGACTCCAGTGCAGAGGCAGACAATCTTGCCCCACATGGTGCCTGGCACCACATCCCCATAACCAATGGTTAGGAATGTGATGGGGATCAGCCAGAGAGTGTCCGAAAGTTGTCCGGTGGCATTAACAGCCTGCCTATGGGGAAGGATGAGTTAGTTCTGAAACCCCACTCCAGGGTTTCCCATAGTGTTCGATACCCTCCTTCCTAATACATACCCACAGTCCCAAGAAACACCCAGAAAAATACTAAGTTCTGGGCTTTGGAGAGCCTGCCTGGCCTCTGTGCTGTGTGAACTGGGCTGGATGTTCAGCCACTCTGATCTCTCGGACTTGAACCTGAGTGCAGCCAATTCCAAAGCCTGCTTGGTTTCAGTGAGGCTACCAGGGCTGCTGTGTTCAGAGTGTGTGGTTGAGGGGTTGAGAGGGGCCAGCAACCCAGGCCAAAGTCCACTTCTCAGACCCTGGCAGGGGGTGCTTCCACCCAGAGGAATCAGAGCCTTTTTTCTAATTTGCACAAGACACTCTCTGGCCTAGAGGTGGCCCTATCAGGAATAAAATGGTACTCTACAAAGTCTTGGTGGGAATCTGTGCTTTCCCCTCACTTCACAGAAGGGGACATTTCACCCATGGAAGCTATCAAAAGTCGAGATGGGCCCAACTTAGGCCCACCGACCCCTCTTTCATCAGGGTCAGTAAGGAAAGCCTCCGTCCATGAGGGTCCCAGACACCTCAGACCCACTAAATTAGTGTCTGGAACTGGGGACTGAATCTACGCTGTTAACGAGCCCCACCCCTTCATCCCAAAGTACAGTCAGGCTTGAGGACTTCTGCCTTGGAATTTAGAAATGTGATTCCCTCCCCATCCTCCCACTTTTCAGATAAGATATATGGTGGGAGGACCATTCATTGACCCTGATCCTAACTGATTTCCCAACTGGGCACACTGAGGTCCTGCAAGATGAAGAAGTTTAAAATTACAAAATATTAGAATTGCCAGGGAGACTTTAAGATGGTGGAATTTGTAAAATTGACCCATTTTAGAGTTGAGAAAACAGGCTCAGAAAGGAGAGATCGAAAACCAGGGCTCTCTCTCTCCACCTCCCCTCAAGAACCCTGTGGGAGATGCATCAAACCAGAGGCTCTCTTAACCCCAGCAGACATTGGAATCACCTGTCAGAATTTTAAATTCAGTTGGTCTGGATGGGGCCTGAGAAGTTGGGTTTGCAACAAGTTCTCAAGTGATGCTGCTGGAACCACACACTTTGAGGACCATGGGCTAAGGTTATCCCCAACTTGTGTGTGTGTGTGTGTGTGTGAGAGAGAGAGAGAGAGAGAGAGAGAGAGAGAGAGAGAGACTGAGGCCCTGAAAGGGTACAGGCTCCCTATCTGGTCACACTATGTCCAGCAGGCAGCCTGAACTTGGATACTAGTTCTCTGTAGGGAATTCTCTTCCAGAGCAGCCCCAAACACCCAGTGCGGGTATCATGGTGAGCACCCGCAGTGCATCTGTGCTAATTCCTCCAAGGCAGATGCAACGCTTGGCCAGGCCCCAGCGCCTATGTTTCCAGACCGAACAGATGCCTGGAAACCTGAGGCAGGAGAGGCTGGGAAGCAGGAAGGGAAGGGCTTCCCAGGGTCTGTGTGTGCCTGGGGAGGCTGGTGACTGCAGGTGGGGGAAGGGCTGGGGCTGGCATGGACAACTGTGAACAATAGCTTTCTCCGCTGCTTGGCCCCCAGGGGTCCCAGCCTGCATCACCTTACAGGGCGGACCGCTGCTGTAAGCGGCTTCTCCAGATGCACCTGGTCCCCCACCCCTGCCCCACCCCTGCGGCACCCTCACCTCTCAGCCACCGACAGCACCCAGGCGGTGGTGAGCCAGAGGCCAAGCGTGAGGCAGAGCAGCAGGCGGCCCGGGTGCGTGTTCATGTACAGTTTGGCCACGAACCAGTGGCGGAAGCGGACCTGGTTGAGGGCGCCGATGCTGCGGTAGGACGCGTTGAGCAGGACGCCGCTGCGCAGGAGCACGGTGCGGGGAATCAGGTAGAGGCGCAGCAGCATGGCCAGGGACAGCAGCGCCTCCCACTGGCCCAGGAAGCCCGGCCAGGACCGCGTCGCGGTGAGCGGGGACCCGGAATCTTGCAGGCACGGCGGGCCCCCCACTGGCGCCGGGTGCAGCCCGCACACCGCCAGCTCCACTGCGATCTGCGCCGCCTGCCACCCTGTCAGCGCCACACGCCAGTCCCGGAGGCCGTTGTCTGTCATGAACAGCTGCGGGGAGACCGGGAAGGTGAGGGGGGTCACACGAAGGTCAGGCGGCCGTTGCCAGTCTGTGCGGAGAGATAAGGGGGGGCGCGCCCGCCGGGCTAGGGAAGGAGGCAGATAGCACAGGGGGTGGGGCTGAGAGGGGGGGCTGGGCAGGACCTGAGGAAGACACCTCTCCCTCTTCTCCCCTCCCAGTTTCAGCCTACTTCAGAACGTTCAGCCCAGGGACACTTAGTACCTCCTGTGTACCTGAGATTGTTCTATATATTGAGGTGAACAAAAGAAACTCCTGCCTTCCTGGAGCTTACATTCCACAGCCATGGTGCCATCTCCTACTCCTGCTTCTGGGGACGTGTGTACAGTACTTGTAGTCTTCATACCATTAGCAATGACAATAGCTAACACTGACAGGGTACTTTGGATATACCAGGGCATGTTGTGACTCAGTGAATGAGATTGAAAGTATTATTACCCCCATTTTATATGGGAACTGAGGCCCTGGTCCCTCAGGTAGGCAGTGGCACAGCTGGGCTACAAACTCAGGACACTGAACTCAGATGACTTAGATGACTGCTCAGATGACTGCTATTAATGATAATGTGTCCCAGGCTCTGCAAGGGACATTACTATTACTGCACATGGCCCCAAACCCCCATTTTATATGAGGGGACGGGAGGAGGGAATAGGATCCGGGGAGGGGGGGTTGCATGGAGAGGGCCAAGGGTAGGGAGATGAATGTCACAGTGAGACATGACACTGGAAGGACATAGGTAGGAAGGGCTCCTGGGTCAGGGGGATATTGGCACAGAGGTGGGGAGCTCAGGAGTGGGAAAGGACCTGTGGGCACATATCTGGGGTTTCAGGTTGCTTGGGATTAGATTAGGTGGAGACTCAGGGATGGAGGACAGAGATCTGGTAGGCTGGGCCTGGAGTGAGGCTGCCTCGGGGCAGAGTGGACCGAAGCCTCCGTCTGGGCATGAGCTCTCAGCATCCATGAGTGTGCAAGGAAGACTGGGGGCTGCAGTTGGAGGAAGGGACGGAGCTGCTCCAGGAGGCTCTGTAGGTCTGTCCACGGTTCAACCCATCCCAGTGGGTAAGGGTGTGGACACATCTCAGGACAGAGAAACCTCATTACTCAGCCCAGGAGGAGAAGGAGGATGGAAAGTGTGAGCTGACAGGGCGTGGTGGGGGCTGGGGACAAAAGAAAGGGGTTGGGGTGGGCCTGCCCTACCTGGACCTCTTTGGCATGAAAGGCCAAGATGAAACAAAGGAGCAAGAAGGTGGAGATACTGATGGTGCATTTAACCAGGAACAGGTAGAACGCCCACTATTGGGAGAGATAGAAACAGGGGTGAGATCCCAGGTCTCCACCCATCATCAGTCCCCCTCTACCTTCCTCCCAAACAGCCTTTCCTTCTCAATTCCCAATTTCCTAGACTCCTTTTCCCACAAGCCACAGCCCAGTTCCTCCCGAGGTCTCAGTTCTGGGAAAGTCTCAAAATCATCATCTGGTCCCCATCCTTCCCAGCTGGACAGCCCTGGTCCGGGTGCCATCATCCACCCTCCTCAGCTCTTCTCCCAGGACCCACATCGCTTAGGGGAGAACTCGAAACTCACATTCCTTCTTTGTATTTATATATATATTTTTATCCTCACCCGAGGACATTTTCTCATTTTTTGTTCAGACAGAGTGGGAGGGAGAGAGAGGAAGAGAGAGAGAGAGGAACATCGACATGAAAGGGACACATCGAGTGGCTGCCACCCACATGACCCAACCAGGGCCGGGGGCAAACCGCAACCGAGGTACGTGCCCTTAGCGGGAACCGAACCCGGGTCTCTCCACTGCAGGCCCACGCTCTGGCCAGGGCCTCACATTCCTTCTTAATTTCCATCTACTTCCCCATCAAAATTAGTTCCCCCGCTGTGTGTGTGTATGTGGGTGTGTGCCTAGAAGCAGACATTTGGCCTCTAGAGAGTGCCCCCTTCACTTCTCTTTTCACCCAGCTGGTGCTGCCCTAGAAAGCAACTTCAAGTCCCACTCCCACACGCCAATTCCCAAGGAGTCTAGAAACTATCACTCAATCCCCAAGAAATGAATGACACCCTCCCCTGCCCTCATACAGGGCAGCTGAGTCCCTGAGAAACCCCAGGCCCAGCGCAGAGAAAGACCCCCCAGTCCTGGGCCCTGCATCTCCTCTCCCCCACCTCCTGCCCTCTGTCTTGGCGCTAAGCCTGGGCAGATTTGGCCGGAAGCACATGGCCTCCAGAAACTATGGAGAAGGTTATTTTCCTCTCTTTGTGTGGCAATACCTTGGAGGAATCTAGAATTCCTGAGGGAAGGATTTAGAGGGGACTAGGACTGCTGGATTCCCTAGGAGGGGCTGGGAGGGTGTCCCTGCCTGGGGGGTATTGTCAGGGGAAGGAGACCTCCTGGGCCCCCACCTGTTTCTCCTAAGACACCTGTTTCTCCTAAGATGTTGGCAGCTCCTCTGGAGGGGGCAGGGTCCACCTCCGTGCTGGGGACGAGAGCCAGTTTCCTGCCCCAGGGGCCTGCCCCCCCACCCCTGCCTGAACAATGGTGCTGTTGTCCCCAGCCCTCCCCCACTCCTTCATCCTCCTCTGGCACCCCGTTTCCTGTCTCTTTCTTTAGTTTGTCCCAAACTCCACCCCACTAGACACAACACCCTCCCCACACTGCAGTCCACTTCTCCCAGACACTCCCCCACCCCCCTCTGATATCTCTGTCTTGCTCCCCTTGACTCCTGGAGTTTGCACCTGCCTCTCCTCCAGCCCCTCCCCACCTGCGAACAGGTGTCTGGTCTCTGTGAAATAAACTCATTAGACTGAGACGGAGGTGGGGAGGGGACATGGCTGTCATCAAGGCAGACATAGCAATGGCTGAGGAGGACCCCTAGGATCATGTATTTCAACCCTCACCCCCAGCTTACGGATGGGAAAACTGAGACTCAGAGAGCTACAGCAGGTTCCCGAGTCCCACTGCTAGAGGCAGAAGCCTGGCAGTTGGTAAAGGAAAAGACAAAGTGAAAAATGAGAAGGTGGAGGGAGGGGGTAGGAGCAACCTCCTTGTCCCTTCCTATCTGCCAGGGCTCCCATGCCCTCACCTCCCCTGCTGGGTGGGGTGCTGGAGCGTGGGAGCAGTGGGTGAGCTCTGCCATGCTTCCTGTTGGCTTGGGTTTCAGCCGCCCCACCCCCTCAGTGCCCACTGCCCGCCTCTCGACTCCTGACCAGGGGAAGCTAGCCTGCCCTGACCTCCCATGTGGCTCCTGGTCATTGGACAGCTGCCTGCCTCCCTCACCCCAAATCCCAAGCCTGAGCCTCCATCCCCCAAGAATCCCCCCAACTCAATCCTCAGATCAGTGCCCCCAACCAGCCGGATCCCACATCCCTTAACCCAGACTGGTCTCCAACCCCTCCTTTCCTGTTGAGCAATTCTGTTCTGTCCTCAAGCCACTAATTCTGACCCATGTCCTCCCTGTGCCCCATCACTGCCCTGCTGCCGACCAGGGCTGGAATGTGCTGGCAGCCTGCTCAGACTTGTCCTGCCCCCCCCCCCCCGCCCCCGTCCTTTCCCTTTCCATTCACTATCCTGTTAGCTCCTTTCCCCAAAGATGCTCGAAGCCTCCTTCAGACTAGGAGCCTGGGTCCTCGTCCCCTCCTCCCTTGGCACCCAGGAGTCCAAGCTACTGTAAATCTACTTCTCAGTCATTTCCCAGATTAAACAGTATATAGAGTCTGGGCAAGTTGAGCTTTTTAATGATATAGATGAAAGTGTGTGTGTGTGTATTTCCCACCCCCACCCCAGCCAGTTTCTTCTAGTCTCTACCCTTTGTGCTGAGGTACTGGGTAAATGTTAGAGTTTAGATAAGGAGAAAGGAGCCACCGCCTATTAGAAGTTAGTCTCTCTCCTCACCCTCCCTTCACCGAACCTAGGGTTACTGCTCCCCTAATCTGCTCTTGGGGGACTTGAGTATCTGATCAGCCCCCTGTCCTCCAACTCCAGGGGTCCTGGACCTCCAGCTGTCTAATTGCAATACCTTCAAAGACTGAGACACTGAGACCCTCCTCCCTTCCCTTTGCAGAGAGGTTCCCCCCAGCATTTGCCTCCCTGGACCCCACACTCTAGCCCCCAACCCCCTCCTCCCCCCGTCCAGGAGTCTCAGCCCCCAGGCCCTCCTCCCTCAGACCCAGGAGTCTCAGCCCCCAGCCCCTCCTCTCTCAGACCAGGAATCCCAGGCCCCTCCTCCCTCAGACCCAGGAGTCCAGGCCCCCAGCCCCTCCTCCCTCAGACCCAGGAATCCCAGCTCCCAGGTCCCTCCCCCCTCAGACTAGGAGACTTAGCCCCCAGCTTCTCGTGGCCCAGGATAAGGTTTCCACTCACCGAACACCCTCCAAACCACAGCATCTCCGCGTGTAGTACCATGAGCCCGATGCCAATTACCGCCAGCGTCAGTGCCCAGCAGGCCAGCCACTTCTCCTGCTCCAACAGGCGTTTTCGCCGCCGTAGGGCCCCCAAGCCAGGCACCAGCTCCCCGCCCATGTTCCCCTGGGTCTTGGGGCTCAGCCAGTTTCCTGCCCAGGGTCCCCCAGCTCGCAGCACACAAAGGGCAGCCACTGTGGCTTGCAGGTCGTCTGCTTGTTCTGCTCAGTTGCTCTGGGGCTCTTGCTTTGAGGCACAGGGAGCCGGTGCCCTCTGGGGGGTGGTGACGGCTGGGCAGGGCAGGGAGGGGCTGGGAGGCCCATGGGCAGAGGGGAGGCTCCCCAACCCCCCTTCTCAGACTAAGGAGGGGCTGGAGTGTGTCTTGAGGCAGAGCAAGGAAGAAGTGTGCATCCACATGGATAAAGACACACTGACACACAATAGTCACACAACGGTCTGCACTTTGTAATACACACCTACATCTAACCACACCCAGACACCACATGACACCCTCACACCCTGCACGATCATAGGCAGAGCCTAACACACATGGGCACACAACACAACCTACACCAAGTGACTCACAACTTCCAACAAGTTTTGAAACCCACAGCCACACCCAGACACCACACACACATGGTGTGACACACGCCAGCACTCAGCAGGGCAGACAGCGCCCTGTGGCACACACAACCACCTAAATATTGTCTAGACACAGGCACAATATTGTGATCAAAATGAGCACAACATTGCCTGACACACACAGCCACACCCAGACACCACACACCAGATGAAGCACACACACAGCTACACAAGCAGAGCATATACCAAGTGTTCCACAAACACACTAATTATATTGACATAGCGATGCCCAAGTGCCATGCACACATATCACTGTTAACAGTGCTCTCTCAGAGCCCAGGCATTACACATCCAGGGAGTGATATCCAACTCATGCAGACACACAACACTTAGGGACATACCCGTGGCAGTCCCCATTACTCAGCACATAGAGAAATGCACATGACTCGAGCACAGAGGGTGGTTCGCAGCACACACAGCGTACCCCGGTACACAATGCCATGCTAGTATAAAAGGAGAGCAGTGTGGGGAGACGCAGGCAGAGACCTCCAGTGTACAGCAGCACACACAGAATCCCTAACAGCACAGGCCCCAAGTGAGACGTTTTTGGTATATTTTGGTGCATCACAGAGTACACAACCCGGAATGGTGCCCCGGGTGGGGAAGGGGACAGGCTACATGGACCCCGATGCCCAAATGCAATGTGTACAGGAGAAAGCATGCACCATCACCTCTGACTGACAAGCCACATTCAAGCACCACATACAACAGCCACACATGGCCCGGTACTCCATATACTCCAACATGCACGACCACACAAATACAGCACGCACAGAGAAATACACAAGCATACAGTGACACAAAACACATCAACACAACATTTCCCACTAGCACCTTTGATAAACACCATGTGTCACATGCCACAGCAGATGTGACACAACTGATAGGCCAGCAACAATACCACACGCCAGAGGACACCCTATGGCACAGTGTAATACACAACCACACAAACACAACACACTTGGAGTGTGGGCACCCAGACTGTGTTGTTGGCAGGGAAAGGAGAGGCCCCCAACAAGGACATGTGCCTCGACAGGAGACAAAGGGTCACATCACTGAGTGATACACAGCTTTACACACACAACATCTGGAAAGAGACACACCACATACTGACACAGAACAGCACATGCAATGCAGAGTTACACACAGTGTAGGGTGTGAGCACACACAGCAGACACAGATCAGAAGCCTCCTACAGCAACACACAACATCACACTGATCTCCTGACACAGCCGGTGGTCCCAGGGACACCTTTCTTGGGGGCACACACAGACATAACCCCTCTCCCCTCCCGTGTCATATGTCATGCAGGAGCATGGACCCTCCAGCCACAGGGAAATGAGACACACACAGACATGCCTGGCAACACACCAACTCAACCCACACAGACACACCCAGAGACACCAAACCACACACACAGACACACCCAGTGACAAAAACACAACCCATGCCGGTGCTCCGCCCCGTGGCACACATGGGTTTCTCTTGGGGCGAGACACGGCGGGAGAGTGATGGAGACACATCCGGGCACACTCAGACACCACACACGTGTCTGCTCAGAGAAACCACCGCCGCCGCCGGGTGCTCTCGAGGCTGAGCCTGGGCATCCCTGGCACCTGCCACCCTTGGGACCTGGCGCGGTTTCTTTGTGCCTCTCTCCTCCAGGTTCTCAGGGCCTCACCTCTGACTTCTCTTAGCCTCTCCAGCTCTCAAAACCTCTGGGTCCATCTTTATTTCTGCCTCCTTCTGTCTTTCTCTGTCTCTGTTTTTCTCTCCTTTAATGCCTTTGTCTCTTTCTATCTCTCTGTCTCTGTCTCTCTAAGTATCTCTGACTCTTTCTGCCTGTTTATTTCCATTTCTCTCTCTGGCTCTTTATCTCTCTATCTCTGCCTCTCTCAGCCTCCGTGTCTCTGTGTCTGTCTCCCTTAGCATCTCTGTCTCCTTATTCATCTTTGTGTCCCTGTTTTTCTTTTTTTTTTTTTTTATCCTCACCCAAGGACATTTTTCCATTTTTTGTTCAGGTAGAGTGGGGGGGAGAGAGAGGAACAGAGAGAGAGAGAGAGAAACATCGATGTGAAAGGGACACATCGAGTGGCTGCCACCCGCACAACCGACCAGGGCCGGGGACAAACTGCAACCGAGGTACGTGCCCTTAGCGGAAACCGAACCCGGGTCTCTCAGGACCGCAGGCCGACGCTCTAACCGCTGAGCCAAACCAGCCAGGGCATCCCTGTTTTTCTTTATTCTCTCTCCCTGTCACTGTATCTCTGTCTCCATGTCCCTCTCTGTGTTTCTCGATGTCTGTTTCTCTTTTTTCTGTCTCTGTCTCTGTCTCCATCTCTGTCTGCTCTTTTCTGTTTCATTTTCTCTCTGTCTCTGAATCTTGCTGACTCCAAGTCTCTGTCCCTGTCCATGTCTCTGTTTCTCTCTCTGTCTTCAGATCTCCTCTCTCTGTCTCTGACTCTCTCTCTGGGCCTCTCCATGTTTGTCTCTACCTCAGTTTCTTTCTCCTGTTCACTGGCACAGCTGGGGACAGCCTTGCCTTTTCCAGTTCCACCCAGCCCCAAGGGCCAGCAACAGAGACTGTGGCCGCCTGAGAGAGTCAGAGGCCATGGACAGAGACCTCAGCGCCACCGGCCCTCCACAGCTGTGCCTCAGTGAAAACTGACACAGAGGGAGAGAGACACCCAGAGAGACCTCAGTGGTGCAGCCAGATGCGAGGGAGAGAGAGCGAGGCAGACAGATTGAGAAGGAGGGCAAGGAGGGAGAGAGAATGAATACAAAGAAAATCAGAGATAGAGAGAGAAGAGACCCAGAAGTGAAGAGAAAGCAGAAGTCTGAATCAAGACATGGAAGTTATTGCAGAGAGAGATTTTGTCTTCAAAGAGACCACCACTAAAAGAAAAAAAGAGCAAAGGCTGGATATGGAAGATGCCGGGGTGGGTGGGCAGCAATGGGGCAGCAGTGGGAAGGGCACCTGCCTCCAAACTGAAGGTTCAGGCTGTGGGGGTCAGTCTGTAGGACACATGGCTTGAGCCAGCTCCCGTCAGTCCAGGGAGGGGCTGAGCTGGGCGGTGGGGTGACTCAGGGCCCCAGAGCTTCCTGTGACTCAGCTTTGGTGTCAGTTCTAGAGAGGGGAGTGGAGGGGGACAGGGGTCTCTATAAAAGAGAGGAAGTAGGGAACACCAGACGACCTCTATGCCTAGGTTGGCCCCTAAAAGTGGAACCGGGGCTGCTGCATGGGACTTTGAGGGGAGGAGCCAACTGGGGGTGTGGACTCTGAGGCCCAGACTCCTGAGTCTGAGAAAGGAGGGGTTTGGGGGCCCAAACTCCTGGGTCTGAGGGAGGAAGGGCTAGGGGCCTGGACTCCTGAGTCCTGAAGGAGGAGGGGCTGGGGGTCCAAACTCCTGAGTCTGAGGGAAGAGGGGCTGGCTGGGGGCCTGGACTCCTGAGTCTGAAGGAGGAGGGGCTGGGGGCCTGGGCTGGTCTGCGGAAGGAGGGGGCTGGGTCCCATACTCCTGGTCCAGGAAGACTAGAATAACTGATTCCAAAGTCCCTCGGACTTTTCGTTGGCCTTGTCCCAGCTGCCCCACCTTCCTCCCGGCCCCATCTCCGGGCCTGGAAAGGACCCAGGTGCTTGGGGCCCAGCCGGAAGGGGCTAAGGACAAAGGGTTGTTTAACTGCTCAGGAGGTGAAGAAGAGGCTGTCTGAGGCGGAAAGGTCACTTGTCACCCAGAGCTGGTGCAAGGAAAGGCGGGGCTGAACTCGGTAAGACATCCTGAAAGTCAGAGGCCTGTGTTGGCAAATCCTCCAGGGCAGTCTTTTGGCTTTAGGCAGTGGGTGGCTTCAGGGCATCAGGCTACTGCCACTTAGTGGTGGTTTTAGGAACTGCAGGAACTCTGCTTGTCTAGCCTAGTTTCGTATGGAATGGAGCGCCTCCTGAGTGCCAGGGACTGCTCTAAGTGTTGAGGGTATAATGATAACAAAACAGACAAATCCCTGCCCTCATGGAGCTCTGGTTCTGGCTCTGGCTCTGGTTCTGTGAATCTTTACTTCTTTCTTTCTGTGTATCTCACTGGCTTTACTTCTTAGTTTCTATTTTTTTAAATATGTTTTTTAGAGACAGGAACAGAGGGAGAGAGAGAAACATGGATGTGAGAGAGAAACATCGATTGGCTGCCTCCTGCACAGCCCCCAGACTGGGGATCGAGACTGCAACCTGGGCATGTACCCTGACTGGGAATCAAACCAGACCTCTCAGTCCATGGGACAACACTTAATCCACTGAGCCACACTGGCTGGGCTACTCTTAGTTGCAATCTCCTGGACTTTGTCTTCAAGTGCATGTCTTTTTCTTTCTCTCTGTTTTTATTATTTTCTTCTTTGTATCTTGTGTTCCCCCATCAATTAAAAATTATGTATATTATACCTGGCTGGTGTGGCTCAGTGGTTGAGCATTGACCCATGCACCATGAGGTCACCGGTTCAATTCCTGGTCAGGACACATGCCCAGGTTGTGGGCCCAATCCACAGTGGAGAACATGCAGGAGGCGGCCAGTTGATGTTCTTTCTCATTGATGTTTCTATCTCTCTTTCCCTCTCCCTTCCTCTCTCTCTAAAAATCAATAAAGAAAAAAATGTGTTTTTTTTTTAAATGATGTATATTGCCCGGTCAGGGTGTGGGTCAGTGGATTGAGCATTGTCCCATGGACTGAGAGGTCCCGGTTTGATTCCCAGTCAGATCACATGCCTGGGTTGTGGGCTCAATCCCAGGTGGGGGGCATGCAGGAGGAAGCCAATCTATGTTTCTCTCTCACATCAATGTGTCTATCTCTCTCTATAAAAAATCAATAACAATATATATTAAAAATTATGTATGTTATGTGAAATTATATATCATAATTATAAACATTATTAACATATATAATTATATATTAATATATAAATCTATATTTATCAATCTGGGAGTCTAGAGACCTTGGTTCAAGCCTTGACATGGCCACTGACTTTCTTTCTGTGTGCGATCGAATGCACATACATTCTGGTTTAGAGTGCATGTGTAGCTCTGCTATTCCTAGCTGGGTGTCCTATGAGACCTATAAAGTGGGAGTGATAATACCTATGTCACAAGGTTGCTTGAGGATTAGGTGAGATGGACTATTCTGAGCCCTCATCACAGGGCCTGGCACATGTTGGGCATTTGTGATACCTTGTCTCCCCTCTCTGTGCTGGCATATGGCTTCTCTAAGTGGTAGACTCTATATCCCTTCTCCTTCAACCTGGCTGGCTTGGGACTTTCCCTGACCAATAGAATGCATCAGAAATTATGCTGGGCCAGTTCCAGGTCCAGTTCTCAAGATAACTCGAAGCTTCTGCTTTTGTTCTCTTAAAACTCTAAGACCTCCATACTGTGAGGAAGCCCAAGCTAGTCTTGGAGAGGCCATGCAGAGAAGAAGCAAGGCACCTGGCCAAAAGCCTCAGTCCAGCCTCAACTGAATGCAGCTGCATGAGTGACCTCTGGAGAGACCAGCAGCAGTGCCCCGTTAACCCTCAGTATCATGAGAAAGAAAACACAAGTTTGTGTTAAGACACTGAATTTTGCAAGATTTGCTACAAAATAATAACAATAAATATTATACTCTCCTGTTCACTTTGATGTTTTCCATAATAAATATATATATAAATAGATGATATAGATATAGATATATAGATATATAGATATATAGATATATAGATATATAGATATATAGATATATAGATATATAGATATATAGATATATAGATATATAGATATATAGATATATAGATATATAGATATATAGATATAGATACGACCTGGCTGTGTAGCTCAGTTGGTTAGACCATCACCCTAATACAACAAGGCTGAGGGTCTGATCCCCAATGAGGGCACATACAAGCATCAGCCAATGAATGCATTAATAAATGGAAAAACAAATCAATGTTTCTCTTTCTCTCCCTTCCTCTCTCTCTAAAATCAGTAAACAAAAAAATGTGTTTTAAATATATATGTGTAGCCTGGCCAGTGTGGCTCAGTGGTTGAGCATCGGCCCATGCACCAAGAGGCTTCTGGTTCGATTCCTGGTCAGGGCACATGCCCAGGTTGTGGGCCTGAACCCCAGTGGGAGGCATGCAGGAGGTGGCCAGTCGATGTTCTCTCTCACCAAAGTTTCTATCTCTCCCTCTCCCTTCCTCTCTCTCTAAAATCAATAAAGAAAAAATGTTTAAAATATATATATGTATATATATATGAATATGTATGAATATGAATAAGTAATGAAATAGATCATAGAAATTGCACTTTATAAATTGCAGCTAGTATCATTTGCTTCTATCTTTTTGCCTCTGAGTCTTCTTGACTCTTTCAGTTACTGCTTGTCTTTCATGTTTTCCCATCTTTCTTTTTCTTTTTCTCACTCTGTGTCTACTCCAATGGTGTCAAAACCTCACTAGCCACTTCCACCTCCATTTACTGATTTCCACCACATCGACCTTCTTGCTGATCTTCAAATATGCCAAACTCTTTTCTGCCTCCGGGTCTTTCTTTTCCCTGTGTCTGAATGCTTTTTATCTCCAATATCCTCATGGATTAGTCCCTCACTTCATTCAGTTCTCTGCTCAATACCATCTC